AAAGTGTCGGTGCTGCTTAAAGTTAATGCAGCATCCAGGCACTTTGGAACCACTAATGCAGCAGAGGGACGTGGGGAAGGTTTACATTAAATTCTTAAAAACGTGTGATTTATTTTTTTTTTTTTTTATCATTCTGTCCTTTACTGAGCTTCATCGTAATGGCACCAGCATGCACTTGTAGTGACAGTGTAATAATATTTCCTTTTTAAAAAGGAAAAAAATGAACATCTGCTCTGCACTTTGTTAATCCAAAAAAAAAAAAAAAAAAAACAGGCAGCTTTAAGGATAAAAGCTTTGGAATTAAAGGCTCCCAGTATTTTTTTTGTAGTTAAATATTTAAGCATATAAATAACACAATCAAGGGGTTTTGGAAGCCATTTAAATTATTTCATCCCCTTCCACCTCTTAAACAAACTTAACTGGTTTTACAGAATGTTTTTAGAAAGAATGCTGGCAAATATTGATAGAAATTAACCTAAACAAAAAGAATCCCATTTTAAACCCATCATATGCTATCATATCATCGAATATGATATGATAAATAAGTAAATAAACAAATAATTACTATAACAATTTAAACAGAATACACTGCTAAACACTGTATGAGATGTTTACAGTCGTGACAGCACTTGGCAGCCATTTTAGATCGCTCTCTCTCTCTCGCTCCCCTCGCTCTCTCTCGTAGCTACAGAGACTAAGTGTGGCTGGATGGACGCTGCCATCGCCCAGCACGAGTAGAAAATATCGCACGGCATATCGCTGGCCTGGGATCAGACCCAAGTTCAGCGCGGACTACTGAATGCGCATTCTGTATAACACCACTGTAAGGTCAAAATACCTTAAGATGAACCATCATAAACCGCGAAGAAAATTACCCACCGCAAAAAAAAAATGCTTACTCATTTTATCACAAGAAGCTTAAGAAGACTTTATGCCTAATTCTATATAATGTGATGGTAGCTTAAGACACAGGGCAGTGCTGTTAGCTAGCTCACAGCGTCTTGCTGTCTCATCAAATTCTACTTCCCTGCTTGCCTGTTGTCGGTTTGGTGCTGCTGCTTTGTCCTTTTGACGGATAGAATTTCTGTTACTGCTAATGCACCCCAAGACACGATATCAACAGGAAGTGACATCACTGCAGCGTAATGGCAGAGTGCCTCACCCACGGGCGTGTTGGTGCCGGGGACCTGCAGCCCGCGCTCCTGGCACACAAACTGCATCTCCGTCAGCACTGCCAGAGCACTGTAGTAATCACCTGCGAAGGCACATGGTTCAAACTTGGTGACTCTACACAAGCTCCCCGCCCAGCGGAAAGAAACAAAAAAAACAAAAAAGCAAAAACACACACACATGCTCCAAGCTTCACATTTAAATCTGATCCCCAGGTCAGTATTTACCACGCAGACAGTCATGCCAGTTGACACGTCAAGCAGCGTCAGTCAAAAACGCCCTTCGATGTTGCTTTATCTAGGCCCCCACTCACGTGTCAGGATTTTGCAAGAGGCGATCTCCCCCATGGACAGCAGGGACTCGATTGGCGTCTGGGCCTGCAGCTCCGCGGCTCGCTGGTAATGGACGATGGCTTCGCCGGGCCGGTTCATCTCCTGGATACGGGATTGATACAACGATTCTGATTGCGTGACATTCCCGGGCCGCAACAGGAAGTCAGCCCTACTTTAACGGTGCGAACAGAGCGGGAAGTGGCTGCCGTAATGAAACCATGCATTTTCACCATATCCGTTAATGTACTGAGTACCGGTTACTGTGGGGAGAGCAGGCATACACAAATGTATTTACATTTATTCATCTAGCATATGGTTTTATCCAAAGCAATAGACAAGCGAGGCAGATAAAGCATGACAGTATGTAAATAATGAATATGCAGGCCTAAGTAGAGTCAGAATAAACCAGATACCTTGAGAGCATTGCCCAGTTCCAGGGACAGACTGGCAGCCATCACTGGCTGGTTCATCTCTATGTATACCTGAAAAACAAAGACAACATCTGTGCAATTCTGACCCAAAACCCAGGCACACAAATACCCTCACATTCATATGCCATCCCAACATACACCTACTCGGTATGTCTAACTATTTATCATTCAGCTTGACTGAGAAACATGATCCAAACCAGAACTAAGGAGAAGCGTCAGGCAAAAAAATAAATAAATAAAATAATAATAAAACAAAAAGAGCAAAGTGTGTGCCTATGCCAGGTAAACAAGATTCCTGAGCAGCAAATGTGCCAGAAATATCAACTCTGCACTGCATTCATCACAAGGCCCCAGAAACAAACGGACGGCATTCACCTTGATGGCAAAACTGTAGCAGTTGAGTGCGGCCTGGAGGTGCTCATCAAAGCCGGGGGCTTGCAGTGAGTGATTCTCCCGCTCGGAAAGCAGGAAGAGCCTGGCAGCCTCGGTCAGTGCCAGGGCCTCTCCTGGCGCATTGAATAAAGTCTGCTCACACCTGAGGGTGCGATGTTCACACAGCGCGAGTGTAAACACAGGTTTACCGAAACAGAGGTCACAAGAGCAGTAACACAAAGAGGAGGAAGACAAAAAGTCTTAGATTTACATCACTTCAGGATTCAGAATTTATACAATTTAAATATATATGCAACAAAAAATGAATTACAACTGAAATAAACCCTACAGAAAATTTAGCATACCTATGCTTCAGTCTGAAAAAGACACATGTATTATATAAATAACACGGACAACCTTTTTATTGTTCTTGTGGGAATATAAGAACTGAAGGTTCTTTTCAATGGGAAGTACACAGAATCCTAAGCCATATGGAAAAACAATTACCAGGCTTATTCTATGGCAAGTGCACATAGTTCCATAATATCCAAAATGTATCCATCTTCAGGGACAGAACCAGCAAGGGACACATCTACTGGGGGCCAAGGAAGGTGTGATAGAGAACCAACACAAGGAGCCATTTATGCCACATCAAGTACCAGCAGACTACCACAATCCATTATTCCTCAGATCTGACAGTCTGACAGACCAACATCGCTCTTACGCACGGCATGAAAACCATCTGTGAACAAGAGGATTCTGGTGTCTGGTCCTTAAATGGAGGCAGAGAGGCAAGTGGTTCTGTGGTCCTCACCTCGCCATGGCCAGATTGCAAAAGGCTGCATACTGCAAGCAGTCCTGCTGTTTCAGCTCTTTGGCCAACTGACCTGCCAGGAGAGACGATCAGGAGGAAAACAGGTTACATGTAGATACAAACAAACAGAACGGAATCAGGGCAAGAAAGGTTAATCTGATTCACTTCGGAGAGAAAGCAGAGCAGTGCCCACCTATAAATCATTAAATTACAGTGGCAAGTGACTACCGCCAATTAGCAGGTATTGCATTACCTGCTGAGAAATGCAAAGAACTCACCAAATTGCTCACTTGCTTCAGCAACATTGGGCTTGCGCAGGAATCGCCTGACAAAAAAAAAAAGCAAAACACAATAATCATTCTCTTAACCCATTATAGCTGATAATTACACACTGGGATAACTGTATTTATTGTATTTTTTGTCAAACTGCATTATGAGCCAGCAAAGTAAATAAGATTACAAACAGACACATTATTAAACTCGCTAGCTGCCTTTGTTGTAAGCTGCAGAAATTATAATGACTACGTATGTCGTTTAGTAAAAAAACTTTACAACATCCAACTGGTTAGCTAATACACAACTACCTAGTTATTAATTAATCAGCTGATTATCCGTCTAGATAAACAGAGTGAAAGGCGAATTACGGAGCGTTTACTGGACAGCTAGCTACAGTACCACTGACAGCCGGGGGACCGCCCCACATCCAGCTAGACAGCCTGCTAGCAAGCCTCTAACAGCGAAGGTATACAATAAAACGCGGCTGGGAATTGGGATAAAAACCAACCTATACTCTTTGAAACGTTTATTTCGCGTCTTACTTTTTCAGCTTATTTGACACAGCCCGATAGCGCGTCAGGAAGTCACCCTCCGCCGCCATGTTTGCTGCACGGTTTTGGGATCGCGCGCGAAAGCGCGTACCCGGTGCTCAGAACTGCGCGGGTGTTCGGCGTTGTCACGTCATCAGTTCGGCACCGGTCAGTGTTGCGCAAGCAAGCTATGAGGCTGCGTACAATTAATACTTTAGGCTCAATCACCTGTTCTGTGTTAATATAATATAACTAATATATTCAGATACCACTTGATTAGCTACAGCTCCTCTTTTATGCCCACAGCCTGCTCCCCCTACTGAAAAAAACAACAAAGACCAGCTTAGCTGTTTACCAGCATGTCCAGCATAATGCATGCCGGTTATACCAATATACCATGAAATATTACTTCATATCCAGCTTCATGTGCAGATAGACCAGCTACACCAGCATGGAAATCATGCTTGTCTATGCTGTTTTTTTTTCTTCCCCCCAGCAGAGCTTGCAGAGAAAATCATGTGGCCATGACTCAGTACACTCAGCCTGAGGAGTTCAGTTACTGTTCGACAGCTTTACAGACGATATGTGTGATCTAAGCATTTTTGAATGTGTTATGATTGTTGGTGCCAGCATCTCAGATGCAGCCAGTGGCAGTTCTGATGGCAAAAATACCTTGTTAATGAGAGCAGCCAAAGGGGTATAGCTAGGTAAAGCCAACAGGAGGACTACAACTGAAAGAATGTCATGGACCTGACTCTAAGGAAAGCTTTCGGCACCTTGTTTGCATAAAGTAAGCACTCATTTTCAAATCTAACCCCTGATATATTTGTTTTCATTGCAGAGTCAAATGAGATTTGTCTGTTTCAGACCTTTTACATGATTCATGTACTAATATTAGAATCTGCAAGTTTCAAATAATGTCATGTTTTTCCTGTTGTGGTTATTCTAGGAGGAACAGACACAGTCATCATTTTTATATATATATATAATTAGGCAGCCAAAGAAAGTGATGTTTAAATGACCTTTATATTGGTGTAAAACTATGCTATTATGCCTGTCAAAGTGTGTCAGCTTAGCCATCAAAACCTCTGCTGAAATCACCCCATTTACCGAAACCTTTCAATACACCCATGTATTTTTTTGACTTGACCACTAGCACACCTTGTATAGCTAATCAACATGTCATTTACTTTTCTGATTTAATTAAATTAATTGAGCTGGTGGTGAAATTTAATAAATGGCTGCGGTGCCCCTGAGGAGAGGTTTGGGAATTGAAGCAGTGTCCATATAGCCACCCAACTAGATATCAGTAACTTTTTGCAGAACAGAAAAAATTCTTACCAACTTTTATTGTGTCACGCTTAATCGATTTTAATTTAATTAACAAAGTGTTTTTAGTTCGAAGCAAAAGTGCACTTACTTCCCAGATAGCTTTAAACAATTTGTTTGTGTGTGTATATATATATATAAACATATGTCTGGTGGTCCCCACGGACTGGGTTGGGAAACACTGTCTTATAAGTACTCCACACTCTCCTGACCAGGATAAGTGGTTGGGAGACAGATAGACATCTGGGATTTTTCTGTGCATTTTCTCCATGTCAAGCGAGCAGAGGTGTGTGAATACCTTCAGTCGTGATGGTAAACAAATCCAAGCAAAGGATGCCTGGAAAGAGGATTACAGTATATTAGGATATTTCCTGTTATGGAGTTATGGGGTGGAACAGGGTTGGGGGTAAATCCCACACATAAAAGCAAACTTCAAAACAGAGAAGCAGTTTCAGGGGACAATAAAAAAACAAATGAAAAGCAGAAAAAATTCAGGCAAGGGAGTCAGGCAGTAAAATAGCACAACATAAGGACCCGGCATTCAAACAGTAGAAGGGGTTGCTGGAACTGAAATAAAACACGATACACCAGTGTATTCCTGTACTATGAATGAGAGGTAGGTGGAGCTAATCAGCATAGACACTTCAGTCACATGACTCTCCCTTCCCTGACACCTGCATCTCCCTCCACCTTTGCCACAGTAAGTCAACCCAGCAGGTAGCATTGCTGTGGATTCCTGTCAAACTCAGATCCTGAGCCTTAGACCTTCTCACATTGAGCCTGGGCTTCCTCCCATGGTCCTAAGAGATGGATCCGTGGACAGATGTAGTAAGCGTGGTCCACACGAGACATACCGAGGGGTGGCAGGTTTGGAGCAGGTATACAATATCTGAGTAACAGCATGCATAGTTTGTGCAAGGCAGCCTTACGGATTCCCAGTGTGATCCCAGTGAAACCATGCTGCTGTCCACTGGCAAAAATATCACATCGTTAATCATATACAATTTGGATTTAAAGATATGTATGAATTTAAAGTGTGCAAAACATGGCAGACAGGACCTTGGATAGCATGCCAAGGGCATATACTAAGAAAAATTCTGCTAGCAGTATTGAAGTGAACATCTTTTCACTCAAAAACAAACACTTCTACTAGTGATATTATTAAAATACCTTCATAATCATTTTGCATTTGACAGCACATAGAAGCATGTCATCTGGACCAGGTGAGCAGTACCTGCTGGAGATGTGCTGCTGTAAGCACGTGACTAACATGTCCAGAGACTGAAAACTAGCTAGTGCATGCAGCAAGGAGAACATGTATCATTTACAGAGGTGGAGATTCCAGGTCCAGAAAGTACAAATCCAGACCAGGATTTTGTTTCAACCGACCAGTTGAGCGTAAAGAGTCCCAGTCACAAAGTACGCAACTGGTTGGTTGAAACAAAATCCTGGTCTGAATTTGTACTTTCTGGACCTGGAATCTCCACCTCTGATCATTTATGAGCTTCAGTACCATTATCTTGGTCTTATTATCAGTTGTATGAGCTGAGAAAGTCTACATAACACTTTTTTTTCCAGACATTCATGACTTCTGCTTTAACACAAACTATCTACTAAACTTACTGTGAGCACAAGTAAGGGGCTGGTACACATGTGGACATTCATGGGTTTTGTGACGTTAGAGTGAAGGATGTGCGCTTCTTTTCTTGCCGGTCTACACGGTTGGGCCATGCAGCCTCTCATTACGTTTGTTTATTTCCACCCATTTCAGGAAGCAGTGATATCGGTTTTACAGTGCTGTTACACGTCACTGGAAATCCCCCAGCTTCCACCTTATTGCAAACAGGGACCAATTACGAGGCAAGGATCTGCTGACCGTTTTTAACCAGCTTTGTGCTGGCCAGTGTGACTGTGACGCCTAAACTGAAAATGTGCAGTTTCACCCAAGGACACAAGTGTTTCCAAGACAACCAGTATAGATAATTATTATGCACTTGGCTGGTGCACATGCCCCAGATAAATTATAAGATACAATTCATCTTTGTACAATATATTTTACCTAAAAACATCTCACTCAGACGTCTGTCAACGCTATAATTTTGCCAGAGTTAGAAGCATAATTAACTCCATTCACGATGAGTCACAAAAGAAATCTGTATTATTGTATAACTCTAAATCCCCAAAACATATCCCATGTTGTGTGGAAGTGACTGGAAGAGAAGGAAAGCGACAATACGGCCAATGAGAGGTCTCCGGGGATGTGGGGAAAAAAAAAGAGTTGGAGCGAATAACGTAAGTGCCTCTGCATTGTCTGGAAAACATCCTTCATGTTGTTGTGCAGTAGATCCAGAAAGTATTCAGACCTCTTCATTTTTGTCATGTTTGGTTATTGTTTTGACCTCCCTGTCCTGTGCGGCTGACCCTCCTGTCTCCCCCCCCTCATGTGGCCTTGATGAGCTATGCCTGTTATTAGTTGCCCCTTGTTAGTCTTTAAATATTTAAGCACCTGTTTGTCTCGTCATGCACACTCCAGTCATTAACGTTGTACCCTTGTCCTTCCCCTACAGTTTATAAACCTCTTATATTATATATATATATATATATATATATCATGTTATCAACATATGTCATGTTGAGATTTAAATTTATTTTACGTTTGTCAACAATCAGCCCATTTATGTCTATTGCACTGCAATAACACTTAAACCTGAACACTACTGTCATTATATGCAGTGTTGAAACAATATGTTATCCCCTGTTTTTACTTCACCCAAATGAATCCTTGCCAATACAAGTAGCCCTTCTAATGAACAACTCTGAACACCCTGTGGCCTGTAGCATCCTGAACTATCACGTGATCAATATAAGGAGAGAGGGGGGTTCAGACTGCATTTTGTACTTTGTGAACGTTCCCAAAAACTCCAATATGATGTTTTGGTTCCCTAAAATGGAGAAGTCCTGTGTCTTTTGGTTAACTAAAAACCATGCAGCAAACCTTATTAAAGATGGTTTGGAGTGACTGTAACACACAATGGCATCTGAAGAAACACATTTTCTACTGGAAACGGTGATTTCTGCACAAATCGGTTGTGCCTGTGATTAGGCTACACAGCCCACCTCCATACTAGTAATGGTTACAGTCATGGCATAAAATCCATTAACTGTAATTAATATGCCAGTTAATTCAAAATCAGTACTCCAAAGTGCAAAACATTTAGCAGTGAAATCCAATTACCTTAAGAAGGAGTTATTTAAAATATTTATTGAGGCGAAAAGACCGAACGAGCAGCTGAGATTTAGGGACACCAATTACACTGAAGAGAGTGTTAGGGAGCAAAGCAGACGAGCGGGAACAACAAAAGGAAACATAGACTTAATAATTTTCATAGACAGATTCAATGATATCTTCTTCCTTTTGTGTTTTCTGCATCTAAAAGAGAAGACAGAAAATGCATAATATACCTTTGCAGGTTTACTTCAGTGGGAGAACTGAAATGTTTTTTCTTCCATATGCTAATTATTATTAGCAACATTATTAATGGATACTCTTTAGTTGTTAAGGATTCATTCATTCACAGAACAGTTGCACTAAAGTGTGGCCTTTGAATTGAAATGCAAGTCTCAGTTCACCTTGCTTGTCTCTTTGGTTGCACTCTGCGCCTCTTTTTTCTGTTTCGTCTCCTTAGCCGGGGAGACTGAACCGATGACGTTGTAAATTGAGGATGTGGAGGGCTGAAGACCCTGAAGAAAAGCACAGGAAAGAAAAAAAGATTCCTATTTCCAGTGCTTTTGCACAGTCGTTCAGTTTTGTACGGTCGTTCAGTTGGGCTTCACGATGAAAGGAGGATGTGGGAACAGGGCTTCCGAATCAGGTGCATGTGATCAGCAGGCTATGAGCTCAGGGTCAGACTTGCACGATGCATGATGCATATTTTCCCAGATTATCGGGTGCCTGCAGTCAGTAATCCTGTCCTCGGGTAAACCTTTGACTGGATTGTTCCCCCAAAAACACACACAAAGACAGTAATGGTACTTTTTAGAAACACCAGTTGGCCCAGAGGCAATTCTAGCGACTCTGGGGCCCTGGGCAAAAAACTAAGGCAGATTTGCCGGCCGCCCTCGGGGGTCGCAGTCTACTGCCTGCCCTGCCAATGTGCCTCTGAGTTGGCCGACCCTTTCATGCGACTTTCACTGTCAACTGCACTATACGGAGGGTAGAGTTGAACAAGACACAGCCCGGTGCAAGCATCAAAACTGACACGCGATGAGGCCACATTGCTATATCCTCCTGATTCATTCAGTCCAGCTGATGGGTAATTATCTGTATTATTTACACCTAAAGTAAATCACCAAAGCAAAATACAGCAGGTGGCTTAGTGGCTCAGTAGGTAGCACTGTCACCTCACACACCTTCACAGGTGGCTGCTGGAATCCTGCCTACGCTTAGGGTGTGTGGAGTTTATCGGTCCTCCCTGGGTGGCCGTGGTGCTCAGTTTTACCCTCACAGAGCAAAGACAGGCAGATAAGCCTGTTAACCAAAGAGTGTGCATGTGCCCCGTGATGGACGGGCATCATATGCAGGATGGACCCCAGCCACGTGAAATGGCTGGGTGCTGCACCTTTCCTCATGTGCTTATCCATGACCAAAGGTCTTCACTGATCTCCCTCATTAAAAGGGTCGGGTTAATAGAGTAATTAAGTAGGGGTTGTGAGGCTTCCAGGATTTTTGACGCCTTAGGAGTAAGGATTTCAGCAATATTCATCAGTGGAGGGACAGGAAAAAATTATTTCTCAGTGGATCATGGACGCAAGAGGGGATATGATCAGCGAATCATTAGCAGTCAAATGATCCACAGGGAAATGAACAAGGAATTAGTGGCAGTCACGTGACTCATAGGGAAATTTACTTACCATATATACAGATCCATCATTTGCAGAGTCCTCAATACTTTCATCCTTTACTTTTCTGTTTCCTTCCATTCCCTCTTCATTATTCTCAGAATCCTTTGGACAACACTAATAACATACAACATACAACATAACACACATACACGTAAGTGTACCCAAAAGGAAAGTCATTATGTTATTTCAGTGTATCCCCCAAATAGACTTTTAATTATTAAATGCAGCCTTAAGGCAATAAAGGGATACTGGAGGTCAGACATTAATTCAATCCTCATTTCAGAGCATCATGTCTTTATTTTAAAGATCTTGGTGTTACATTGTGCTCTGAAGCAGTCCCATTGGCCTGTGTGAGTTATAGGAAATCCCTCACCCTATAATCCTTACAGAGGACTGTCGAACCAATGACGCTGAACAGAAAAAGTCCTGCAGCGAGACTTCCAATGCAAATGAACACGGAATTATCCGGATCTGGTTCCCGATACCCTTCATCTGAGAAAGAGGGATAGACAGGCTGCAACAATTAGGATGACGAAACAATGGGAGACATGAACTCCTATGACATTTATCTGCAGCATTGTGCCGTAAGTGGATGTGAGCGGCGCAGCGTTTAACCCAAATGCATGCATTACACTACCCTGTAACGGCCAGTCTGATATCGTGTTAATCAGGAAGTGAAGAAGTTTGCACATTGTTTTGCAAGACTGAGCTGTTTGTCTTTTTAAACCACACCTCTGGAGATCGAAAATTGTAGTTATATCTGTTTTACAGCTTTTTTGTCAATCCACAACTTCCTCGACTGCCACCTTTCTAACCTCCAAAGCCCCTTGCTCCTCTTCCTGAATTCTCACCTCTCACCAGAACCATCCAATACACATATGTGTTTTTGTAAGAGCAGAAGTATTCTCCTGAATCGGAACTGTTGTTGATGGGTAATATCACAATGTTAACGAATTTGTCTGTATCGGTGAGGATTTCTGATCTGTGCTTGAGTATCTTCTTGCCGCTCTTAGTATGACTGCATTGAAACAATTCCAAACTTTGGTTCTTCGGGACAAATATGGTGAAATGAAACCTCAGGACGTCCCTCCGTAAAGCCACTGTAATTGGATCAAAACAAGGCTCAATTTTTGGCGCATCTGTGACAGAAAGAGCAAAAAGTTACTATTACAATAAACAATAAAAACAACAGACACCAGGACACGTCACATATATGCCAATCTGTGCAGTGCAGTGAAAATGAGGGGACCAACATTTCCTTGCTCGATGTAAAAATTGTGTTCAATGCCAGATTAATGCTGTAAGTACCACCAGACACATAAGCTATATTGATACAAACCAAGGGGGAACGAACTTCTCTGGGGGCCCTAGGCTGACATGGGTGGACCATTGGAGATATTTTTTTGAGCGGAAAGAGGGAGTGAGAAAGGATGGAACATCAATAATATACTAATGAGAGTACGGGGTGCTAGACGTAAAACTTACTGATCAGGGTAGGGGAGGGAGTGATGTCGATAAAATTAGCCAATCGGGAGGACGGGGGTGTCATAGTGGTGGATCAGTCGGCCATGTTTAAAAAGTTCCATATTTTGCTGTGGCCCTATGCTGCAGCCTAGTATAGCCTATACCATAATGCACCCCTGGATTTTTGCATATGTTCCTTTGATTGCGTTCTCTCCACATCTGTTCACAATTTCCCTACCACTCTAGAGGGACAGTGCCAAAAACATGGGAACTGTAATGCTAGTCTTGTATGTTTACACCCTTCTTCTGTTAGGCTACTTTGCGCAAAATGTCTTGGCAGTGATACCAGCAGTACCACTAGACTCCAGGGTGAACAGCAAGCTGGGCAGCATGAAGGTTCAAAGTAGGAATAGTCCATTACAGTTGGAATGGGGGGGCAACTTTGTTTATCCCGAAAACTGTCACGATGCATGCAAATCAGACATGTTGCTATAATTAAAATTATCATGTTATCATACATGCACAAATGTCAATTCTGGAAATTCTATCTCCAAGGGGCGCCTAATTTTCTGGTCTCCAAACAGCTGCTCGATCTTGCCTTACAGTAAGTCCGCCCCACATAAAACGCTACAGTCGCATTAACCTCAACATCAATTGCCCCGCGGCTGGTGTGTAAATCTTACCTTGAGCCTCTATTCCAAAGCACATCAGTCCACACATCAACACAGCGAGTCTTTGGTCCATGCTGACGAAGCGAGCTTACAACATCGTATCGATCAGCCGGCCATGAAGGATCCCACTCTACAGCATGAGCAAATCCGACCCTGTCGCATAATGCTAACGAAATGTGTCTTAGTGCAAATGTCTGCCGGCTGAAATGAACCTTGCTTTGCTCTGCACACATTTAGCATCGAGTTCATCAGTGTGGTTTCGCAAACACTTCCTCAAATTATAGAATGTACAAGGAAGTGGAAGATACACGAGTATCTGACACGGGAAACCAGCGATGGCACCACGATCCACCGCAGGGCGCACACTCATACACTACGTGCAATTTAGAGACATCAGTTACACTAGCTACACATTTTTGGTTTGCAGGATGACACATACGGAGTCAGACGTGAACTCAAACAGATTCTCGCATCTGAAGTCGTGAGGCCTCCATGCAACGGCACAGAATTATCAGTGAAGGACATTTACACAAAAACAAACACCTCAGTCGGCTAGAGACACTGTTTAAAAGCAAAGACCATCACATGCGCCTTTCTGTTTTAGTCAATACATTTATAATTCATGTTTTTTATTTACAGGAGGCTCCAAAACTCATCTTTCGCATTGTCACTCCTTTGTTTTCACCAGAATAAAAAAAAAACAATAAAAATGATGAGGACAGCAACACAGCTCAGTTTACATGTCAGATTTATAACGATGCCTTTGTAAAATGGGTAAATGCTCAGTCCGTCTTTGTCCATTTGGCTCTGCCTCAATGCTGCCACTTGTTTCACTCGAAAATATCTTTTTTGTTTCCCATCAGGTAGATAATAAACTATAAAAGTTTAAGCCCGTATGCAGGGCGCTCCTGTGCTCTGCGGAAAGCCGTGAAATGGAACCGCTGAAGGTAACCAGGCACTTGTGCACAAACAAGGAATACCGACAGGCATTCCTACATTACACATGCCCACGGAAAAACTCCCGTCTGCGGAATCTCCGTTTTCTGAAGCCTGAGGCAATGTGACACACGTCTGGTGAACAAGACCTAAATGATATTTCTTTTGTGCCCTATAAAATTTCAAATTGAGATAAGATTCAAATCTAAAACGCTTTCACGGCGATAAAGAAAATTATAATGACAATAGCAAAACTTAATAATGATAATAACAGTCCATTAATACACTGGCCCATTTCCTTCAAACAGTTGGCCCCTTGCTGTTCCCTCCTGCTTACTCACAATGTCCTTGTCTCCAGCCTTCGCTATGAATTCCTATGCACTTAGGATTTAAAAAGGAAAGATTAAAAAAACCATAATGATTAGAATGAAAGGTGAAACAGCCCCACTTTCCTTTTTCTCGGCATATTCAATACAATGTCTTTCCATCTTAATGGTCTCAGTCTGAGGGTTTGGTTCATTTTTTTTTCTCCGTCCAGTCCCTTTGCATCCCCTCACTTATCTTCTTTGATTAATCCACCTTTTTATTTTTTGTCCAAACTGAAGACAGAAAAATCATTTCAAAAAGTTTTTTTTTTTGTTTTTCCTTTATAAAAATGTATTTTCTTGTTCGGCAGAACTAAAATAAAATCCCATTTTCTTCATTTTCCCCCATCCGTGTCTCGGCTTCATCCCTTCATCATTTTCCAGTTGACCTAAAACAGAACAGTCTGCTTAGAGCTCTTGCGTTCCAAGTCAAGCGGTCAGTTTGGACATGCAGCTATAGGAGCAGCGACATCGACATGTAGTCACACAGCACCGGGGACAATCTGACAGGTGAAGCTACTCAGTGCAGTGCTGCAGTCTCAGTCTAATCGCGACTCACCGATCCCAGATGGTCATACGTTTCCCCATCATTGATGCCCTCAGCCTCTCCCCAATTGATCTGGATCCACAACCTTAGCTGGTTTACTGTTCTGAGGGAACTGCAGGACAACAGATGGAAGACAGCATTGATGCCACTGCTTGAGCGCAGTGCCGATCTGGGGAATTGGTTAAAAACAGCTCCGACTCCAGGGCATGTCGCATGTGAAGGCAATTGGATTTCGCTATTTTGTCAACAGTATGGGGACAGAGTATAAGCACAAGTCACGGCAGCCAGGCCTTCGTTTAACCAAACTGAAGGAAATCCACCCCAAAAGTAATAACGGCTATAGAAGGACCTGTGATGTATGGAAGGGCATCCCTGGTGGCCACATTTAGAGCCCTGAGCAAGGTAACGGGCAGCTTCACATTGCCAGCTGCCTGCAGTGACTAAGGTACCACTCTCCAAATGAGTGCTAACACTTTAGCAAGGCGCCCTACGATGCTGCAGCTGACCCACTGAGTGTAAAATGGAAACAGACCAGGGCGACGGCGGGTGTGAGCGGGAGGTGTGCATTACTGTTCTGAAAGAAAAGGTGAGGGAAGTGTGTGTTGGGGGGGGGGGGAGCAGGGAAAGCCTCCTGGACGTCTTAATATAAATCTGGTGATAATTTGCGGTCTGCAGACTGATGTAAACACTTGAAGTAGTGTGGCGTTCTGTCTCTCACCACTCAAGTTTAGTGTTGCTGGTACATCTTTGAAGCAGATTGTAGTTAGTATTAAAATCAAACCCTGACTGACAGTTTGGCCTGTTGTGTCAGTCCAGCAATGGGCTACAGATTTAGCTACAGATTTAATGCATTTAATGCATGATATGTATACACGCAGCAAATATCTGCCAACTCCACAAATGTATTATGCACATTTTTCTTACACAGTTTATGCCAAGAAGTTAGTTGTATTCTCACCTTGTGCTTTGGACACCGTAGTGAGAAGTTGTCTTCATTCAGAGAGCAGTCTTTGGGTATAAAGAAAGATTGTGGGAATATGCATATTAATATATGAATTTATGCTTATTAATACACATAAGTCTCATATACTGTGAGGCTATAGTACTTACACAAACACATGCAGTAAACAGATAAGTTTATGCAAGGACATATTCTGCCTACAGATAAATCCCCCAGTAATTATTTTTTGTCCTCTGTAAGTGACATTATGGTTTTGCTCTTATCTCTTACACTACGCATACCACTCTACTAAATCCCATTATTCCTTAAAGACGAGAGTCTTGTCTTTAAGATGACATCACATGTGAGGGGGGTGTTATTTTTCCTATCTCCTTAATTGATGCAGAAAGAAATCAAAATGGGAAAAACCTTTTCCCCTTGATCTCAGGAGAACATGCAATACTTGGACTAACGCGTGCAACCATATGTATTAACTGGAAACAAAAACAAGCATTAATGGGCTCATGTAGGCCTACAGTACATTTGGCACATTTGTTGGTGTCCAAACATGGACACTTGTAGACATCCTGATGTTACACGCAGTCAGTAATGCAAAAAATGCAGAAAAGTTCCAATTGTGAGCTCTGACCTGCCTCTATGGCACACAGGTAGTGATATCGCAGAGTGCAGCCTTTGCTGTAGCAGCCAAGGGTTGAACCCACCATCTCGCAGTAAGAGCAGCACTACCAGAGAAAAGGGGAAGGTTTCTGTTACAACACACACTTCCACTGTTAAGCTAAACTAAATGACAGCAAACACTTTAAAAATAGGAAGAAGTCCTGTACATTGTACTTCTCTCTATTGCATTACCAGGGTCCAAACTGCATGACCAGTGTTAAATATAAAATGAATGTGATTTCCTTCACACAGCTGGTAATACAGTCCTTATAATACCTTATGTTGCGTCACATTAAGAATAAGATTTCGCAGAACTGTAGCAGCAATTTCAATTAGCTTGACCTCTTAAAATGTCACCCGATCTTCACTGAAGTCATAATAATAAAGTCTTACTTAACAAACACGGCATACAATATTTTATATTTCCACATTGTTGTTGACCAAATTGTTTAAACAGTGAAGGTCACAGATGGAAAGAATGTGCAGTGGTTAAGAAGCACTTTGGTCAGTTCCTCTATAAAAACTGCATCAATTCATGTAAATTGTTTCCCGTTTAATCCTGTTTTGGTTCATAGTCTGGTTGGACGGCCAATCTTCTTTTGAGTTGCAAATCACAGACAGATGCCCTAACACTCAGATGCTGTATTCTCTGATACAACTTTCTTCATTGATTTCAAGATCTCCAAGCACCAATGCAGCAAAACAGGCCAATCATTACACTTCCTCCACCATACTTCACAGTTGGGACAAGGTTGGTTTTGAAATGTTTTGTTTCCTCCAAGAATGTGTACATATACTAGTTCAGTTTAGTCAATTTTTTTCATAGAAAATCAATCCAGTAGTGTTGCAGAACATTCACGTTGTCTTTAGCAAACTTGGGTGATATTAATATGGATTCACCTGGGTCATATTACACTTGAACAGAATGCTTTGTGGTCTAACCCACCGCAAAATTGTTTGGAACATCTGATTCCAATTACAATTCCAATGTTAAAATCATTTGCTCAACAAAGATGACGTAAAATAGAAAATTTACACCCATGATGTCATGTCATGTCAATGCTGTCATATTTTCAACAATTTCAATGTTAACAGACTAAAAGAGTGATTTTGATCTATGTACAACTTAGCATCAAACTTAAGTACTACAGCTGAATAAATGAGGCCCTAAAATAATAAAACAAATAATACATAGTGATAAATAAAAATGTAAGTATGGATAAACAAGTTCCAAAATAAACATCTGTTTGAAAAAGAAAGTCACACATAAAGTCTAGTTAAATGAAAGATAAGGATAATAGTGGAGCAGAAACTCACCATATCTCTTGCACCATCTAGTGCCTCCTGTAGCCCGTAGAGCCTCCCATTGACCAAAAATACTCCACTGGCCCAGACTATGCAGCTCTCATGTACCCACAGCTCTTCAGGATCTAAGGGTACCTGAGGAAGCACGGCCAAAGCTGCTGAAAGATCAGAGGCGCCCTGCTTAAGAAGTTGCAGAGGTGGAGGAGGCTGGAAGGGCAACAAGGCTTTATTGTTGGTCGGTCCAGTTTTGCGCAAGTCCTCATTTGATTTATGTCGCCGTTTGAAACGTGGGTGAGAGGTCAGTTTCCTGTGTTGTGGCCTCTTCTGGGAATCCTCTGTTTGTGATTGTTGATTTGTTAACTGTTGATCACAGTTATTTAGCTCCTCCAATGGTTTCAACTCTACAGCCATGGTGTTCTTTTCAGACACCAAGTCCTGGTTATTCGGTAAAGTGACATTGTTCCCATTATCATCCATGTCGCACTGTACATCCAATTCATCTAGTACAGATGTTGTGTCTGCTACAGTGGCGGTGAGGTGAAGGTCAGTAGCTTGATCTCCTGC